GAGAGAGAGAGAGAGAGAGAGAGAGAGAGAGAGAGAGAGAGAGAGAGAGAGAGAGAAAGAGAGAGAGAGATGCAGCCCACGCCCCTCTTTGTTTCTGTATCGGGTGTGGTAACTCGTCCAGATTCAGAAGACCTGCTCCAGTGCAGTAGGTAGGCGAACTGGGCCATAGTTTCGAACGCCACCTGCCGCCTGCCTCGGCTGGGAAAAGCTCTAGGCCTGGGGCACACTCGCCATTTCAGATTTTTGTTTTCAGTCAGACCTGGGCTCCTCATGCCGTTTCAATTGGTTTTAGGGCCGCGGTCAGCTACCAATCCTTCACCTACAACAACTACCCAGCCCCCTAAAATTGCCTGCCCAGCAATTTAACCACCCTTCCAACGACCGGTATAACAAAACGACGATGAAAATGACACAATGGGCTGCAAATAGACGCAACTCTACGTGCTGCGAACTGTCGGAACTCATTATGACAGCTTGTCGTAGTGTACATGCAATCTGACCCTCATCGTTTTTTTTTTTTTTTTTTTTTTTGACTGTGATCCTCAATAAGGTATCTGTCGCACCTGGAGCGGCAAAGATGCTGGTTAATATCGGGAGCAGCAAAGGTACGTCGCCGGATCATCGGCGCCTCTCCATGTGTCTCACTGTACTCATGCTGCCACTTGCTGTACCTGTAGGCAAGGAAGGAAGTGCCTGTGATGCATCCAGCTATCATCGTGTATAACGTGCGTACCAATCAAGATTGATGATCGGGACATGGGGAAGATGGTGAGCTTGAATGAATGGTGAATAGCCATCGACATCCACGTGGCGTGGCATCCTCAGGCATTATCTTCCATATTGCTTGGATGTGATGCAAGTGCCGCAGTGGACAGACAAAAGGCCTGTCGTGCTGCAGGACGCTCTGAATAAGAGGAGGACTATTCTGGGCATTTGTGTGGTGAGGCTCACAACGCGCACAAACAACCATCTTGGCTTGTACTCTCTTCTTCTTGAATTCTTTTTCTTTTTCTTTTTCTTTTTTTTTTTTCTTTTTTTTTTTTCTTTTTTTTTTTTTGCAAATCGGGTCTTTTCCAGCTCTCTGATTGCCAGGCGGGTAAGAAAACTGGAAATGCAGTTTTGTGTTTTTCTCGTTTCCCTGTAAGGGAGATGGGCGATATCAGCTTGATGGCATCGCTTGTGTGATAGCCAGTAAATGATCGATGGCCAATAAGTCTGTGACAGCCAATAAGTGTACGATGCAGCCATCAATGTGTGACAGCCAATTAATGTGCGACATCCAATAAATGAGTGGCATGCAGGACAGGGGTGGCCACGTTATTTGGCGCGCAGGAATGGGCAGGTTATCAGATCGCCCGCAAACAAAGCACGGACAAGAATGCGGTCGTCGTTGATTTGACGGCTGTGAAGAGACAGCACAGTGACTTGTGGCACGTGTGTCTTTGACGAGAAGGTTTATCTTTTCCGAGGTAAGCAGGCGGATATTGAGAGCAAGCAGTACGCGAGATTGCTGTGTGCCTTCCTTAGCTGGTTGGGCTTGATGTCCTCATGGCTCATGATTTTTGGCTTTCTTGATTGTGTGCCGACAACTCACTGAGTATAGGCGCAGCCTCAAGAGTGGGGGGGGGTGTAAGAAGGCGCAGGACAATGATTATCACGACGTAGGGTGGGGTGGTGTGTGTGTGTGTGTGTG